TATAGGCTCAAAGTGGACGATCCGGGTGTCGTTCTATTAGAGGTTTTACGGTAACAAATTTTGGAGGACCAATGAGTGCAGCAACGGAAATTGAGCATTTAGACTATTATGTCATTGGCAATTACATTTATTGGATTTTGAAACAAAGGAAGAAATGTTTGAAACAGAAAAAAATGCGAAAAATCAGTTGAGTAATTGGACAGAAACAATCAAATGATTACTGTGGGAAACATACTCCGAAATTGAAAAGATTAATGTAGGGGAATATATTTGAAAATAAGAGGGTTACTGTGGGCAAAACTTATCGTTAATTAAAGGATTACAGTAGGGGGTAGAATTCGACAAAGAAAAGAAGTAATGTATGGAAAACTGTTCCAAAATGTGAAGGATTACTGTAAGGAAAAATATTGGAATGTGAGCAAGACTACTGTAGGAAGAAAAAACGAAAATGAAAGGATTACTGTGGGTAGAAACATTCAAAATTAAAAGATTACTGTAGGGAAAATATTCGATATAAAATTTTCACGCGTGCTCTCCTCCTCAAAATTTTTTATCTAATTCGGAATTCCACGTGGAATTGTTTTGATGAAATCAAACTAAAAGCTCCCATTAATTCTCATCCATAATATTTCAAAAGTTTTCCCAGGACCACATTTGAAGTTTCGCTTCGAAAAGGAAAAGGACATCGGAGATGGCAGAAAAAAAGGAAAAGAAAGAAGAGAAGGACAGCGACGTCTTCGTTCTCAAGCTCAACCCTGAAGCGGTACTGATCTCTATTTTTGGAACCTTCTAGACCTTTTTCTGCAGATCTGTTTCTCGAATTCAGGACTTGGTGATGAGAATACGATGGCCAGTTTGAAACTGACGAATCCGACTAAGGAAAAGTACGCTTTCAAGATCAAATGCACATCGAATGAAATGTTCAAAATCAAGTCGCCGGTTGGAATTATCAAACCGGATGAGTCTCTCGACATTGGAGTGAGTAGTAGTAATGTGTATGCCCTCTACTCCCCAGTGAAAATGTGGAGAGATGGCCGAGCGGTCCAAGGCGCTGGTTTAAGGCACCAGTCCCTTCGGGGGCGTGGGTTCGAATCCCACTCTCTTCAGTTTCTTTTTTCTTTTTAAGTTTTTTATTTTCAGGTGATCCATTGCTCAGGAAAAGCGATTCCGGAGAACAACAAACAGTATTTTGCTGTCTACTATATCAAAGTTCAGGATTCAGTAAAGGCGACGGAAGTTCGGGACATCTGGAAGGAGAAAAAGAACAAGCACGACGGAATGAAACGCGTTTACATTTCATTTGAAAAAGGAGCTGGTACAACACTTGAGGATAAAAAGAAGGAGAAGAAAAAGGATGGAGATGGGGAGAAGCCAAAAACGGAAGAAGGTAAAAAGGAAAAGGAATCAGTGGAAGAAAAGAAGGATGAAAAAGAGGAAAAGAAGGATGAGAAGAAGGAAGATGAGGAGAAGAAGTGACACCCGGAGAATCAGTGAACTTGTATTTAATGAATCGATGTTTTCGAAGACTGCTCTTTTTTGGTTTTTGTGAATTTCAATTCGATTTTTTCGAGATTTTTCACTTTTTGAGTTTTGAGTGGACGGTTTTACTTTTTTCGACCTATTAGAAAAAGTATTTCCGTGGAAGTTTTTTTGAGGTTGTAGTTCGGTGAAAGTTTGTCGAAATTTCTGAAAAATATTTCAAAAATTTCACGAAAAATATATAAATTTTTATGGGAAATATCTTTTCTAAAAAAAAGGCTCCGCGTCACTTAGGAACCGGTTATTTCGAAACTACGTGACACTTCGAAACCAGTCACTTCGGTCACTACGAAACCGAAAAAACATGGTCACGTAAAAATGAAATTGAAAATTGGAGCCTTAAGCCTTAAATTTAAAAAAAAAACTGCAGCGTGCAAAACGTCGCGGTTTCGAAGTGACGCGGAGACCAAAAAAATCCGGTCACTCAACGGTTTTTTTGAAATACTAACATGTCACGCAAATATAAAAAACCAGTCGGTTTGCGCCCCTTCGGGGCTGAACATCCTGGGCCCCGCTTACAGTACCCGTAATCTCATAAAGAGGTCCCGTTTTTTTCTCAGCGGATATCTTTTGCATTATCAAAATTCGAAATATAGAAGCTCAGAGTTCCGGAAACTCCTGATTCTGAATCTGTTTCAGATTTCGACATTTCGGAAATTAAGATATTTGGAGTTTTAGAATCTGGGAATACAGAAATGAGGAAATTTGGAAATCCGAAAAGTAAAATATTAGGAAGTTCAGAGATTAGAAAGTTAAAAAATCGGAAGTCCTAAAACTTTGATTCTGAAATTCAAAAGAGTGTTTTGAATTGAAATATTCCAATTTTTCTTAATTTTTAAATTCTTAAGTTTTCAAATCTTTAAATTTTCGTATTTCCAAAATTTCGAGTGTCTGAACTTCTTCATTTAGAAATTCCGATTTTCTAGTTTTCAGAAAACCCAGAAAATATGAAAAAATCCGGAAATTGAGTAATTGAGGCCGAAGAATCAGTTTAGAAAACTCATAAACTTTTAAAATATTGAGTTAATAGCTGAATATGGAAATTTAAGCTTCGGGACATTTCGAAAGTAGATGTTTCGGAAGCAGAAATTTCGAAAGCGTGGGAATGCAGGCCGATGGATGAATTTCAGACTACAAAAACTATTTTAGGTTTTTTCAAATATGCTTCTTCTGATAGAACACATTCTGAAAGCCAAAAAAATCGAAATTTTAAATTCAAAAATGATGTATATTTTTTTGAATTTTTTGAGTTTCAGAATAAGTTTAATCGAAAAAGCATATTTGAAAACCG